CCCCCCCCCCCCCCCCCCCAGCGCATTATCTCACTCGAGAGGTCTGGTAAATAGCTTTAGCTAAAAAAAATTCTGAGAATAGGACCTGGACTCTTGAAATCCCCTATCACCTTTCTAAAAAAGGTTTATTGCACCAGCTCTTAAAAAGCAGCCCTGAGGGAATTTTCTCCAGTGATGAAAATATTCCCTATTTTCATATAAGTGGGGATAACAGGGGTGGGTAATCAGGCAAAACTCATCTAAGGGTGGACAGACGCATAGACACATGATAGAAGAGGGTAAAACATTCACAGTGGAACCCAGGTAGTGGATATAGGAGCATTCCCTGCAAAATTCTTTCAACTTTTTAGGCATGTTTAAAAATTTTGATAATACAATGTTTGAAAACTTCAAATTAGAAATTAACTTTAAAAATAAAATTTGGGAAGCCAGCCAGTGGCACAGCAGTTAAGTTCACATGCTCTGCTTCAGAGGCCTAGGGTTCCTGGTTTGAATTCCAGTTGCTGACCTATGGACACTCATCAGGCCATGCTGTGGCGACATCCCACATACAAAATAGCAGAAGACCGGCACAGATGTTAGCTCAGGGACAATGTTACTCATAAAAATAAATTAAACTCTACACAAGATCTGTACATTACACTGTACGTTAATGATGCTAAAAAAAAAAAGCACCAGACCGGAGGAAGGGGTGGGTTAAAAAAATAGAAAAGAAGGAAGTACAATAAACCTACTGGATCATAGATGTGACTGCCCTAGGTAGAAAATTCCTTTTTTTTTTTTTTTGTTGAGGAAGATTTACCCTAAGCTAACATCTATGCCAATCTTCCTCTATTTTGTATGTGAGCCACCGCCACAGGATGGCCCACAACAAGTGGTGTAGGTCTGTGCCGGGATCCGAAACCCTACAGTGAAGTGGAGCCAGCCCACCGACCTTAACCACTAGGCCACAGAGCCAGCCTCCTAGAAGATTCTTCTTAAATTGCTAGATGACAAGTTCTCTTGAACAGATGAGAACTAACTTCGGCCCAGGGGACTATGGAAGGCGGGCGCTGCTTTCTTCCTAAACAAGGCTTTACTTGCCTCGAACGCCTCTCTCCCCCTACCCTCATCGACTGAGTCAGAAAACCAGCGAGGGACGCTGCACTTTCCCGCAGCATCGCCAACAGCCTAGCCTCACCTCAGGGCGGCCCGCCCCCCGCCCCGCCCCGCCCCGCCCCGCCCCGCGCCCCGCCCCGCACCCCAGTCGGCCCGCCCTGCCCGTGCGCCCCGGCGGGTCAGAACCCCACGCAGCTCCGCCCGCTCGCCCCACTCGGCCGCGACCCTCCTCGCGCCGCGGGGACGCAGCGCAGCCGTACCGAGCGAGGCCCAGCCGGCGGCTGCAAGGCGCGATGGCTGCCGCGGCCCTGCCCCCGGTCACTCGGCAGGTCAGCGGCCGCGCCGCCGCGGTCCCGAGCGGCCCCGAGTGCGGGCAGCCCCTGGCCGCCGCCGTGGCCGAGCTGCCGGTGCTGGACGCCTCCGGGAGGCGGGTGCCGTTCGGCGCGCTGTTCCGGGAGCGCCGCGCCGTGGTGGTCTTCGTGCGGGTGAGCGCGGGCGGCGGGGCGGCCCGGAGCCGGGCCCTCGCCCGCAGACTGCGGTGGAGGTTTCTTCAGCAGCCTCGGCTGTGGGGACGTCGGGTCCCCCGGAGGGTCCGGGGCCCGGCCCTGCCGATGTCGTCGTCCAGAGGCTTCCGGAATGCGAACCGCTCCACTCGCTTCCTTTCCCGGGCATGGAAAAACAGCCCGCCCAGCCAGTCCGTTTTCTCAGCAAGCGGGGACGCCTGGCAGGCACTGGGCGCGGCCCAATTTTAACGCAATCGGGCGCCCTCGATACCTTTTTCTACCCGCCTGGGGTGTGGTGTTAGTTAGCGTCACGCATAACGAAGTACTCGGTCCATTCTGGACCCTGAGGGTGTCCGTGGCTAACTTGTCCTTTTTGTCCTGTTTGGATTTCAGCATTTCCTGTGTTACATCTGCAAGGAATACGTAGAAGATCTGGCCAAAATCCCCAAGAGTTTCTTACAAGTGAGTTTCCCGAGCGGGAGCAGGAGCGCGCCCTGCTTCAGAGGCGTCTCGTGAGTCGCCTGTCATTTATAGGAATGCAGTGGGGTCGGTGCGGAGCGTGCCACCCTCCTGCGCGGATGCTCCGAAAGCCGGATCGCTACCTCCCCACACATCTCTCCGACACCTGCGAAAAGAGAGCCAGAGATCCAGTTCTGTTCTAACTTATTATTTATTCGTTACTGCCTGCTTGCAAGCGTACTAACCATCATAATAATTTTGATGTTACTTCGTAACCTGCCTAATTGGAAATGTTGAATGATAATGACTGAAAACACAAATGCTAGAAATTATTGATATTTTCTTCCCTTTATTTTTGTAATAAAAACATTCCAAATAGGTGTTTCTGATAGGAAAATACCCATACATCTTAAAGGAGAAGACGTGTATTTGTTAATAGGGCGCACGTTCCACATCCGTGGGACGACCACATTTGTGTGTTTTTCTTCAGGTACGAGGTTTGTTCCCAGGTGACCTTTTGAGGGAAAGGTGGGCCAGGTTGTAAAACTGAGATCTGTTTTCAGCGGACCTTATCAATTGGGATCTGAAAAAATAAAATTGTCTGATTAAATAACCCTACTTAAATAGTTTTTATTCTTTTTTATATATTCCTTTGAAGGAGTGTATAAATTATTGACTATTATTTTGAGATTCTTATTTAGCAAAAGCATCATCTGAGTTAATTGAACATTTTAGCATACATTGCTTTGCTTTGACTCAATTTTGTCGTTTATTCCATTCTTCCAGAAGCCTGCAGGTGGCATTAGGATGGAACAAAATAGTTGGATTAGGGGAGGTTGTATAAAACATGTCATTTCTAATAATATGTACATGTCCTTTTTTTCTCCTAAAGGAAGCAAATGTCACCCTTATAGTGATTGGACAGTCATCCTACCATCATATTGAGGTAAATACATAGCACATTGGGACACTGACAGACTAAATCAGTTTTAGACATACAAAGTATATTATTTGAACCAGTAAGTGTAGGTTATATTTGCTGAAAGTAAGTCAGATTATCATTAATTTTTTTTGGCTTGTTTTTATAAAAATTCCAACTGTTCTCTTTTTTGCAGCCCTTCTGCAAACTGACTGGGTATTCTCATGAAATCTATGTTGACCCTGAGAGAGAAATTTATAAAAGATTGGGAATGAAAAGAGGTGAAGAAATCGCCTTTTCAGGTGAGACAAGACATGTCTTAAGTAGCAAACGCTGATGGTGTCTTTTCACACTTGGTATAGAGCACAGGGGAACAAACAGTGAATTCATAAATCAGGCTGATTTATGTATGATTTATTTATGTATATTATGTATGATTCCAGTAAGTGGTCCAGATACACCAGAATCTAAAAAATACATTTCCTGGTGTAATGACACGGGATGCTGTTTGTGAAGTACTAAATGAAAGAAAAAAGCAAGTTGCAGAACAATGTTTTCACTATGATTCCATTTTTGTGAAAAGAAGAATCGTTTTCATAAACATAAAAGTTTATAGTATGTCTCTGTGTGCGTGATGAAGAAGGTTTTAAGAGACGTTGCAGTGCTTATCCTAAGGCACAGGAGTGAGAAAAGTGGCTTTTGTACTTTTTACACTGAGTACATTTTACTTTTGTAGTTAAAACAAAAATAATATTGCTTAAGTTAATGTATTTTCGTATCTCAACACCATGGCTTTGAATACTCTCTGTCCTTTAATTGACGAAGTCTTAGTTTTCACTTGAAGCTCAGCTCGAAGGGGCAGAAGTGATTGCCTCCCTCGTTGGACTTTAATAGTAGCACCTTGCACTTTATTATATGCTCTGTTATTGCACTTCAGGTGGCTGGGTAGTATAGTTAGTTGAAGAGTTGGATGTTTTATTCTTCTTCATATGGTCCACATTCCCAGCCCTTGGAACAATTCTTTATAGTTAATAGAGCTTCATAGGCTTAGGTGAACTCTTTATGTGTGTTTTAGGTAGAAAGAACTTGGCCTCTGAAATTCCAGCTAAGAGAACTCAACTCGAACTCAAATCGTTCATTCTCAACAGATATTATTGAGCTGTTGTCCATGACATCCACTGTGTTGGATGCTCCCAGGAGGACAGTGATGAAAGACACCGCCTCTGCCATCCCCAAACTCATAATCCTCTTGGAGAGCCAATTACAATACAGGTTAAGGGTTTGTAATAGAGGAGACCATGTACTGGAATTACCCGTACCAGAAATACGAGGGGAGAGAAGAATCAGGGAAGGCTCCTCAGAGGAGGTGTCATCTAAGCTCACTCTTCAAGGAGTTAGCTGGGTGAAATGAGGCAGAGGAAGGGTGCTGTTGACAGAAAGTAGCACATGCAAAAGCACACAGGCATGAAAAAACATGTCCTTTGGAGAAGTGCAGAAGTGCGAGTCCCTGCATCAGGCCGGAGTCTAGGGGCCAGCTGGGGAATTGGTGTGAGTCAAGGGCCAGGTTGTGGCCAATTTATGTGGAGTCTGGGGTGATATGCCAAGGAGTGTGGATTTGTTCTGGAGGCGGTGGGGGAGTCATGCCAGCATTTGAAGTGGAGGGGTGATGCGGTCACGTACCCAGAGTGGAGGAGTAACTGGAACCTGCCAAACCGGAGGCAGTCATGTTCGGGACAAGGTTGTAGTAACAGGCTAGAAAGAAACGGCAGGCTGAAGTGGAGATGGAGAGGAGGGGATGGATCAGGCAGCTGTCTATGAGGTGGAGTTGACATGATCCCTTTACTGACGTTTTTAAAGAAAGCAACCTAAACTTTGTTAAAACTGGTGAGGAGCTGGCGTAAACACAGTTTCCTCTTTGTCTCTCTTTAGTGTAGGGAATTGCAGCGGCACAGACGTGGCCCTTACTCTGTAGCAGGCTGTTCCTGCGGGAACAGAGCCTCAGCACGTGAGGCTGCTTGTCGTTCAGCTGTGAACTGTGAGCTGCGCTTCAGTGACCCCTCCCCATTCACTGCCGACATAAAGAGAGGGAATTACAAAGAGACAGATGAGTTCTAAATGAGATGTATGCTTGTAATTGTAAGAGAGGGTGTATTCAAATCTTTTAAACTCCTTTGACCTGTGTTAAAGTATTGTATTTCCAAACAGAAAACACTTTTTTCTCATAAAATAGTTTTTTAAAAGTTCCTCCCTGAAAAGGTATAAATCTCAGAATTAGTCTCAGAATAGTGCCAGTTGAAGATTGAGAGACTAAAAGCATACACTTATAATTTAAAATCAATGGACAGAGAATGAGAAAATAAAGCCATTAAATGTGAGAGAGTAATGGGTTTGTAGAAGACTGAGAAACAGGAGTTTTACGCATGAGGACTAAATTCAAACTGGCAAAATTAGATTGTGCTTCACAGCAAAGATTGTTCGATTCTAGGTTGTGGAATCTCCTTCAATTGAATTTCTAAAATTTCAGAAATATTAAATAACTCTCTCTTTGGACATAAAGAGATAATTTGGATTTCTGAACATTTATTTTAGGTATAGAATCATAGAAGATGTTAAAATGTAGTCTTTTTACCCATGTCTCTAAGCTGATGAGCCTGTATTTGTTTCTTGGTAAGAGCGCTGTCCATCATAATGTAAACATGAAAGAAAGAAGAGTTGGAGAGATGAAGGGAAATAATAGGCATTTGGAATTTTAAGAAGTCAGGCAGTGGGGCCAGCCCCGTGGCCGAGTGGTTAAAGTCCCACATGCTCCACTTTGGTGGCCCAGGTTCAGGAGTTTGGATCCCAGCTGCAGACCCACACACCACTCGTCAGCCATGCTGTGGAGGCATCCCACCTAGAAAGTGGAGGAAGACTGGTGCAGATGCTAGCTCAGGGCTAATCTTCCTCAAGCAAAAAAAACAGGAAGGTAATTTACAGGAAGGGTAAAGTGACTGAGTTTCTTTACTCAAGGGGAGTGGAAGCGAAGCGTCAGTCACTGTGAGAAAACAGACAGAAAAACGGACAGTCAAGGAGAGATGGAGGGACAGCTGTGGTAGATGTTACAGCGAGACCCCAAAGCCTCCGTAGCACAACAGGGTAGAAGATTAGTCCTTTTCTTTCACATGTCGAGATGCATATGTCCATTCAGGTGCTCTCCAAGTAGCAATTCAGGGTCACAATATGGAAGGACCCAGGCTCTTTCCATCTTCTGGCTCTGCCATTTTCAACCCAAGGCTTCCCAGAACGTAGAAGGAACGTGGAGAATCGCTGTGGGAGGTTTTAGGAGCAGGCTTGGAAGTGGTACACATCATTTCACTCATGGATTAGAACATAGTCACGTGGCCATACTAAGCTGTCAGGAACACTGGGAAATGTAGTTTAGCTGTGGGCCCAGAAAGAGGAAACGGGTGGAAAGAGCAGTATATGATAGTCTGTGCCACAATGTTTTTTGAAAAAGTGTGTATCTTCCTACTAGTAGGTGAGAAACTAAACGGAGTCTAAGTGGAGAATTAAAAAGGAAAGCACTACCAATTGGAGAAATCCGTAGCTGACATTTTTCTGTGGCAGAAAATGATCTGGGTCTGTCATCACTTCTTCCTTTAAGCAGTAGTTCTCAACCAGGGGCAGTTTTGCCCCTACTCCCCCCCAGGGGACAGTTTGCATTGCCTGGAGACATTTTTGGTTGTCACGACTTGGTGAGTGGTGCTATAGATCACTGGGTGCTGAGGCAAGGATGCTGCTAAGCACCCTGCATTGCATCCTACAGAGAATTATCTGGGCCAAAATGTCAGTTGTGAAAGGATGAGACACCATTCTTTGAAGGAAGAAAAAAGAAGTCGAAAGTAAGATGACACACAAGAAAGAGAATGTTTTATGGAAGCACTAACATTATCTTCTAATAGCTAATCAAATGTAAAATGATAACATCTAAAGACAATTCGCAATATTTCAGGAAAAAGCCCCCATATAAAGTCAAATATACTCTCAGGAAGCATTCGGAGCCTGTGGCGCGCAATGACCGGCCCTCTTTTTGATTTTCAAGGAGACCCGGCTCAGCAGGGCGGAACCCTCATTTTAGGTCCAGGTAAGTAATCGAAGCCCAGATTCAGCAGTACCCTTATTGTGCCCCGTAGAAGGCAGAGGCCACCCACTTTCTTCATAAAATGGAGACCACGTAGAAATGGGCAACTTGACATTGTAACAGGCAGGATGCTGTGCTTTCCATGGGGCATCTTTTGTTTTTGAAGGCTTCTGTGCATTTTGATGTCTGTGTATTGGATGAAAGGTGCCATCACTCCATGCCTGAGTGATTTCAGGTATTTGGGATTAGGGAGGTCAGTGGTAGTTTGGTGAATTGTTTGTGGCTATAACACTCTAAAAAGCTAAATGGAGGTGAACATTTCCAAATAGGAGAAAATCGTCCACCACTTTTTTTTTGTCAGTACAAGAATAATCTAGTTATTTATACTAACGAAACTAGGAGACTTGCTCAATGTCGAAAGCAAGTCCGCCCCAGGGACAGCTCATTCGATAACAATTACTGTAAGCCACATACTCTGAATAGCTTTATTGATCAGTTTGGAGCACCTGCAGTTCCTTTGGCTCCACTCTGCTGAATGCTTGAGTGTTGACTCTCCACTGTGGTCAGACATCTCAGTGAGAGACACACCCCCGCGTGTGACAGCACGGGCCCAGCAGGCTAAGTCACTGTGTTGTAAACTGAGTTTTCTTGGTTCTTCTTCCTCTTTAAAATTGTCCAGGTTAATGAGTGTAACTTCTTAGAGTTATAAAATTAATATTTGCTTTTTAGTAAATTCCAGGATCTAAAAGGAAGTCTTTAGAAGGAGGATTTTGGCTAAGTATTAGGACTTTTTGGCTTTCTGGAGCTGGAACACTGTAGCCAGCTCAAATCCATCACTTTATTTAATGTCCCTTTCCCTCTCTCTCATAAATTTGCACCAGTTGGACTCGCCAAAAAGGAAGCCCTGTTTTATGAGAGTGAGTCCTGTTAATTGGCCCAGAATGACGTTGAGCCATGTTTCTGAATGACTGACTTCCATCCTCAGACCTGGAAGGGGTTGTTCTCTGAGTCTCTTGTCTCCCGGAGAGCGCCATTGTGTGCTGAAGTAGAAACATACTTAGTCAAGAGAATATTTTGAAACTATCCTCTGGAAAAAATGTAGCTTCTCTAAGGAAAGAGCTAGCTGTGTGTGCTCAATTATACGAATCTTTATCACGGTTAATCCTGTATTTCATTTTGCCTTATTTGATAGTAAGCCAATTTATGATATTAAGTTTGGTGATTACTGTAGACAGCAGATATGTACAATGCCAAAAACCTGCCTCATAATACTTACTTAATCTAATGTTTTAAATTAAAATTCGATTCTTGAGTCTAAGAATCAAAGTAAACAGAACCTAGACTATAAATTATGACTTATTTGAGCAGATAAAGGGATTGTGGACATGTAAGTGTATTGTAACTGATTGTTATTGTAATGCCTTTATTTTCCAGCCTCTTTTGGTCTATGGTTATAATGCAGATAGCCTATTAGATCAGTATTTGGGAGTGATTTTTTTTTAAGCAAGTGATTTCTTCCATTATTACATTTAAGAAACAAAGGATTTCCCAGCTCGATATATATGTTAGTTCCATATTCTGCCTGTATGTTTGACAGGACATTTTATTTAATTACATTTAATAAAACCTAACAAAAGGTTATAATTTAAGAATCTTTCCTCTTGGATCTCATAAAACATTAAGTATCACTGTTATTTAACCATAATCCTTGTCATGCTTTATTACCTTAATTAAAAATTATGTCATTGTCTGGAGAATATAATGTACTCTAGGTAATTAATTTTTCCCTTTGGACTGATTAAAAGTTGAAAAGCTTCCTTGATTCTAATAAGCAATCAATCGAATGAATGATACTCTATGCCAACCTCTGCCTTCTCTTCTTACTCTCTTCTAGGTAACAATATCCATTTTATCCACTGTGATAGGAATAGGTTGGATCACAAACCCATCAACGCTGTTTTACAGCTTGTAGGAGTTCAGCCTGTGGACTTTACAGGCAGGCCTTCAGTTACCCACGTGTGACAGGACAGGCTCTGTCGCTTCCCCCTGGACCCTTGGGATGTGCCTGGATGTGGGAGTGGAGTATCCTTGTGCAGCATCTAACTTGGTGGCTCTTCCCAGCCTTTGAGGAGTTATGAAAGCATGAAGAAACCAAGTAGCAGTTGAATTGCATGCTAAGAGGATCAGTTATCAAAGGTGTGATATATATTTATAATTTTATAGCTTTTAAAGTTTTCTACAAAATAAAACTTTAAAAGCTATAAAATTATAAATACCATTCTGTATTTTACCTTATAGTATATCTATTCAGTGACAGTTTTAGTTGGCCATTAAAACCATAAGTTGTTATGAAAAACATTTAAGGGGAAGGGTAAGCAAGTCAAGACCATTTTATTCACTGAAAAGAGCAGGATATCAAATTCTGTAAACAATATAATCACGTTTTTATGTATATGTTTATATTTTTGTATGCTTAGAAGAAAAGACAGAAAATAAAACCAGAATATTGCCAGTAGGTGTCTCTATGTGGGAGGATTACAGGTGTTTTTATTTTCTTTTCCACACTTTTCTCTATTTCCCAAATATTCTATAATGAGCATGATTCATTTTTTTTGGCTAGGAAAAGATCTTTAAAAATTATGTGAAGAATATATTCCTACATAAGCAGCTCCACAAAGTGCTGCCACATGTTTCTATCCTAATTGCTTTACTCAGAGGAAATATGACAAAGTGACCCTTTCATAGAGCCTTTGCTGAGAGCACCTCGTTTCGCACACCCGCCAGCCACACTAGGATGGGGGTGCTCAGAGCACCTTGTCCCGCACACCCACTACCCATTTCACTAGGATGGGGTTGCTCAGAGCACCTCGTCCCATGCATCCACTACCCATTTCACTAGGATGGAGGTGCTCAGAGCAGCTTGTCCCGCACACCCACTACCCATTTCACTAGGATGGGGTTGCTCAGAGCACCTCGTCCCATGCATCCACTACCCATTTCACTAGGATGGGGGTGCTCAGAGCACCTCGTCCTGCACACCTGCCACCCACACTAGGGTGGGGGGTGCTCAGAGCACCTCGTCCCGCACACCCACTACCCATTTCACTAGGATGGGGCGTCAGGGAGCATTAAGAGGAGAAAAATATGTTTTAGATATTTAAGATGTGTATTTAAAATATGATCAGTATGCTTTTTGAAAGGAAATTTTAAGAATTGTTTTGACTGAAAACACTTTTGTAACTTAAACATACATGGTTTGGTTGTATATTCCTAGACAGCTTCTATTTCTCACCCCCAAATTGCTTTTATTTAGTGGAATATTGTCATTGTTTATTTCTCCAGAATCTAAATATGCTTAGTTGGGAAGTGTCCCAGAAATTCTGATGAAAAGCATAGCAAAATCAAAATACTGGTAATTATTAGCAAGTATAACTTTTATATAAAGCATATGAAGTCATACAAAAATATATCTATTCAAAGTATCCAAATATTTGAATGTATTTTCATATATATACATGGGCAATCATGTTTTTAATCAATAAAAATGAAATTTCTCATAAAATTAAGCAATTTCGTACTATTTTTTTATAGTAAGGAAAGACTGGTAACCCAGATCCCTTTGTTGTTTTTAAACTTACAACTTCTGAATCCCAGTTTCCACAAAAATTATATATTTGTAAGTAAACACCACATTTTTTAAGATGTATAAATGTTCTTTATGTGTCTTCAGGGAGGTACGGTTACAAAAATACAGTGCAGTGGTAAGCTGCCTACCCAAACAAACATTTAATGTGAAATTACTTATACTCGATGCTGTGAAATATATAAACATGCTCACATCCACTAGTGTACTCCACTCAAAACCTTGAAAAAGCTTCTTGTGATAAATACATAGAAGTACTGATGAAAGAATAATAACATCTAACCCTTTTATGGTGCTAATTATTTGCCAGGTGCTATTCCAAACACCTTACATCCATTGGCTCTATGGAATTGATGTTACTATTAGCATCTCCCTTTTACAAAGAAGAAACATCTTTTTTTAAGGTGAACTTATAAGAAAGTGAGGAAGCTCCACCAGGGCCGAAAACAGAGGCAGAAACCAGGCTAATCCGTGCATCGCAGTCGCGGCCGCCCTGAGGGCTGTGCCTTTTCCAAGAATCGAAGACGGCTGTTCCCTTGTGAACTCAGAGGCCTCGACAGCAGGGAGATGAACCTAGACGACTGCGCGAAGTACAGCCTGAGCCCTGGGCCGGGCCCTGGGCCCCTGAGCCTGACGGCGCCAGCGGTCAGAACGGGCCACGGTCAGATCCATCCGCGGGCCAGAGCCCAGGGAGGAACTACTGCAGGGCTTCTGCGGTGAGCCATTAGGGCAACAAGAGCTCCAAGAAAATGAAAGAGCATGTTTACTTTTAAAAATCAAGTATTATGTTTCTCAAGGAGTAACCTGCATGCAGTGTGCGTTTATGTTCCCATCCGCCACGGGGCCACAGTGCTAACACTGACCGTGTGAAAACCTGGAAGACAACCTTTCTAAAGCAGCAACATCATCTGCTTTACAGTTCGCAGTTATTTTCAGAAGAGTGTTCCGGAAGATGACTTACAGCGTGCAGCTGCAGGAGGTACCGTTACGTGTCATTCTGTGGAGAACACAATGATTTTTCGTTTAGAGCAGAGTTCTTTTAAATTAATTTCACTTACTGTGAATTCCAAGTTTTCTTAGGCACATATAAACAGTGAAGTGGTAGCTTCTCATGTAGTGGCTCTATTAGCAGAAAACTCTGAAAATAGTTACAGGATGCCAGTTTCATATCCAAATTGTCAGATGCTTCAAATAGAAAGTCAGATAAACATTCCTAAAAAAGGAGTTAGAAAAAGGTTCCTTTTTTTTTCATCCAGTCTACAGAATCGAGGCAAACTGTTGGAAGTTCATTCTCTTCAAGGTGAAATATCTGATATTATGGTGGATGCTACTCTAACTTGAGTTTAAATATTTAACATTGAAGAAAAATTGATTTTTGTGGTGACAAATGAGTGTAAATTTGCATGAATATATATTTTGATAAAAATAATGTTCATGTTAAATTAAGAAACCTGTGGAGCAGAAGCATACGTGGAATTTGTTGTGGTGCACACACAATTTATAATTGTGTCCAAACTAAGCTGTCAATCAAAATAGAAATTATAGTTAAAATTTACCAATTTCTTTAAAAAAAGATAAAATACACATACAATTTCACATTTTAACCCATTTTTATTGTGGCAAAATATACATGCATTAAATTTACCATTATAACCATTATTTATTGTAAAATATACATAACATAAAGTTTACCATTTTAACCATTTTTAAGAATACAGTTCAGTGGCGTTAGTAATTCATGTTGTTATGCAAACATCACCACTATCCATCTTCAAAATTTTGTCATCATCTCACACTGAAACTCTGTACCCATCAGACAGTAAGTCCTCGTTCGCCCATCCCCCCAGCCCCTGATAGCCACCGTTCTACTTTCTGTCTCTGTAAACTTGAGCATTCTAGATACCTTATATAAACGGAGTCATACAGTATTTATTGTTTTATGTCTGGCTTATTTCACTCAGCAAAATGTCCTCAAGGTTCATCTATGTTGTAGCATACATCAGAATTTCATTCCTTTTTATGGTTGAATAATACTCCGTTGTATGCATATACCATGTTTTATTTATCCATCCTTCAGTGAATATTTGGCTTATTTCTCTCTTTTGGCTATTGTGAATAATACTGCTATTGACATTGCTGTACAAACACCTCTCTGAGTCCCTGTTTTCAATTATGTGTATATACACAGAAGAAGAATTGCTGGATCATATTTGCATTCTATGTTCAATGTTAGGAGGAACCAAAATGGTGCAGCTTTGTATTCCACAGCAGCTGTACCATTTTATGTTCTCACCAGCAACACACAAGGGTTCCAAATACTCTACATCCTCACCAACACTTGTTTTCTGTTTTTTTTTTTCCATAATAGCCATTCTAATGGCTGTGAAGTGATAATGTAGTTTTGACAAAAATTGCCAGTTTTTAAAAGTGTATGCACAGAGTAACCAAAGAAAATATCTGTGAGAAGCTGATGTTGAATAATAATTTTCTTAAAAGCAAACATGGCAGCCTGTACTTTTTTCTTGCCCGTCATCAAGCGGATGTTAGAAATGTTTGAAGCGTTGATGAACTACTCTGTAAACCAACCTGTTTTCTCCTCACTGAGAGTGAGCTTTTTTTTGTAAATGGGTCCTGTATGTTTTTATTTCTTTTGATTAGTAAGCTGGAAATCTTTAATGAATTTATTCAGTGAATGGTGTGCCAAAAAACTTTAACTTTTGAAGTTTTTAGCAAAACATATGATTGAAAACAAATCTTACAAATAGGAAGATACGGAAATTTGGCTCTTCACAAGGAAGGCAATTAAACAAAATAAATAATTGAAATCTCAAGTAGGCTAAAAGATTTAATTTTGAAATTCTGTAACTTTGCTTTATAGCTTCTTAACTTATGACGAAGCTCCTATTTTTAATTGGGTAAATGTGAATTCTGCATCAGAAAGGAATGAAATGAAAAAAAAAAAGGAATAAAATGGCCTATGATTTTCTAGCATCAAAATTTGCTGAAACGTTCAAAGGAATTATAAATGGAGAATTTATTTGATGAGTTTCATCTTGTAAAAATCATGTGTTGAAGAAAGGTACTCTGAGTGGAGGCAAAGGACAGTATCTGAAAGTATTAGGGCTGAAATATTTGTTTTTAATATGAAAAAATTGGACTTGAGAATATCCTCCATTTAGCAAAATTTGTCCTGAGCTTACCAGGTACCTGTAGCAACAGAATATTCTCAATTTGAAACCTGGACTACAGAGAAGAATCAAATGAAGAGGTCTACAATTCGAGTCTTTTAACTATAAAATGCAACTGTAGGGAAGGTTACAGGGAATTTTATTTAAAAATTAGAAATTAGGGGCCGGCCCAGTGGTGCAGTGGTTGAGTTCCCACGTTCCGCTTCGGCGGCCCAGGGTTTGCTGGTTCAGATCCCGGGTGCAGACATGACACCACGTGGTGAGCCATGCTGTGGAGACATCCCACATATAAAGTAGAGGAAGATGGGCATGGATGTTGGCTCAGGGTCAGTCCTCCTCAGCAAAAAAGAGGAGGATTGGCAGCAGTTAGCTCAGGGCTAATCTTACTCAAAAAAAAAAAAAAAGAAATTAATAAAACCATATTGAAAAAAACAGTTTTCAGAAAAATACCTGTGACATGGCATTAAAGACAGACTCAGCTTAGAAATGCACTAAAATACATATATAAATACCTCCCAAGCACAATTATCTTATATTTTTTTAAAGTTCAAATCAATATAAAAGGTTTAAGAATTTTTAGAAAGAATCTTATTTTTAAAAGTTTTTGAATAGAAGGATTGTATAAGTCCCTCACCATTGAAACAATTGCCAGTCAATGAATATTTCAAGAAATTATATAATCTTAATTATTTTTGT